CGGCGCCGGCACTGGTATCGATAGCGATGCTGGCGCCGATAGGCGCAGAACCATTCTTAGCACCGACATCAACACTGTTCAAGGGGGCCCCAAAAGAGTCTGGAGGAAGGAAAAGGCGAGCGGGGAGTGCATATGAGGACGAAAAGGACGAGTGGGAGAGCCCGCGAAGAGGAGCTGGACAGGGCAGGAAATGGGGAGGCAGCAGCAGGAATGCCAGGACAAGGAGGAAGACGAGGCGGAACACCATCACCAACATACCGATGTATAGCTTCAGTCCAGCACCCCCAGCAACGATTTTGAGCGAGGGTTCCAAAGATTGTTTGCGCGTCCTCCGGATCACCGCCCCCGCGCCCCAGATTTGCCTGCGCCCGTTGACGTCGTCGCTGTCGCCGTCATTGCTGGCGTCACCGCCCCCCCTCCCGCACCTCCCCCTTTTTCCCCACCCCCTCCTTTCCCGTTTCCCCTTCCCCCCCGCATCATGTTCCCTTTTTTCTTCGTCTTTCCTGTGCCTGCCTTTCTTCTCCTTCGTTCTCGGCATCTTGCCCCTGATGCTGTTTTTCTCGTTCTCGCCCCTTCTCGCGCCCCTGGTTATCTTCCTCTTCCTTGAATTTCTCAACGTGCACTACGGCATGGTGCCCCCCCCCCGCCTGAGACGTCACGTGGCCCAGACATCATGATCTCGCTTTGGCGCCCGCTAGCTCTCCTCGGGGCAGGGGCGCCCGGCCCCCCCATGGGGCGCAGTTCGACATTGGCACTGAACTGCAACAGGTAGCTTGGGCCTGGTTCCGTCTGAGTTCTCTCTCGTACCTCTCGGGGCCCAGCTGCGGGGATGTCTCAGGCAACGCTGACTAGAACACCTCGCGCACGGCATCTCGTAGCCCAGTGTTGCCAGGGCGTTTTAGGCGAAATTGGCCCGATCATCTCTCGCGCGGCATCTTGGGGCTCAGGGTTGCGAAGATGGATCAGGCGAAGGCGAATCCAGCCTGAGCACCTCGAGCGCGCCATCCCTGAGCATGGAGTTGCGGGGATACATCGGGCGAAATTGGCCATGCGACCTCGGTCGCGGCATGTCCGAGTCCAGAGTTGCGAACATGTTTCGGGCGAAATTGGCCAGGCCACCTCTAGTCAGGAACATATCGGACCCAAAGTTGCGAGCATGTCTCAGACGAGCTGGGCCGGACAACCCCGCGCGTCGCAATTTCGAGCCCAGAGTTGCGAGGATGTTCCGGGCAATTTGGGCCAGATTTCCTCAGGACACAGCAGTTTTTATACCAGAGTTACGAGAACGTTTCAGGCGAAACGGGCCGGGCCACCTCGCCCGCGGCATCTTTGAGCTTGGGATTGCGACGGTGTCTCCCGCGAAACGGGCTGGACCACTTCAGGTCAGAGTATCTTTGAGCCCGCGCGCGGCATCTTGGAAACCAGAGTTGCGATAACGTCTCAGGCAAAATTAGCCGGGCCAGTTCGCACGCGGCACCTCGGAGCCCAGAGTTGGGAGGATGTCTCAGGCGAGTTGGGCTGTACCACCTCGCGCTTGGCATTTCGGATATTCGAATGGCGAGAATTTCCCAGGCAAGTTGGGCTGGACCACCGCAGGCTAGGGGCATATCTGAGCCCAGAGTTGCGAGGATTTCCCAGGCGAATCGGGCTCGACCAGCTCAAGTCAGAGCATCTCCGATCCCAAGGCTGCGATGATGCATTTGGTAAAAATGGGCCAGACCACCTCGCGAAAGGTATCTTGGAGCGGAGAGTTGCGAGGATGTTTTGGGCGAGCTGGGCTGGACCACATCGAGCCAGGACATATCTGAGCCCAGAATCACAAGGACTCTCAGGCTAGCCAGGCCGCAACTCTTCGCGCGCGGCATCTCGGAGCCAAGAGTTGCTAAGATGTCTCAGGCGAAATTGGCCAGAACAACTTTCTCGCGGCATCTCGCAGAGTTGGGGGATGTCCCAGGCGAGGTAGGATTGGCCAGGTCACCTCGCGCGCGGCATGTCTGGGCCTGGTGTTGCGAGGATGTCTAAGTGTCTAAGTCGAACCTGGATGGCCCTCCCCAGGTTAGGCGCATATCCGAACCCAGAGTTGCGAGAATGTCTCAGGCATAACGGACTGGACCACCTCGCGCGTGGAATCTTGGATCCAAGAGTTGTGAGGATGTCTGAGGCGAAATGGGCTTGGCCACCTTTGCCCCTGTCAACTCGGAGCCCAGAGTTGCGAGGATCTCTCAACGCAACGCTAATGCAGCGCAATGGGAAGTGATGCAACACCCATGCAACCCCATGCGTTGCAAAGCAATGCCGTGCAATGCAATACATTGGCACGCCTTGCAAGCGCAACGCATATGCAAAGTACAAGTGCGTATGGTCATGAGACAGAGGCTTCCACTGCGGGGGATGCGGAATAAAGAGGGAGAGAGAGAGGGAGGGATGAAAGGAGCTCCATGAGGAGGAGCGGGAGGATTGAAAGGAGGAGGTGTAATTGGTTTCCAGAGCTCACCATGCAATTTGGCATGTACTACAGTGCAACACCAGTAGCAGGAGGCGGGGCTGGCAACAGGATCAAGCACATCGGAAGCGAATTTAGGATACAAAGGTGCGCGCCCGAGCGGCATCGGGCATCGGCCTTGATGAACTTCAACCGATTGCCGTTGGAACGCATTGACAACCTCCTCACCAGGTTCGGCATCCTCCGCAACAGGGCGCAGCAGGCTGGCCACCTCCTGATCGGCCGCGGGGGACTCAGTTACCTCTTGCTGCTTTCGTTGGGCGCGTCAAGCGTTCAACCCACCGCGACCTTGCGACGCTGCGTCATGGCCTGCTCCACGTGCGCTCAGCAGCGCTCGCGCATGACCTGGCCAGCTGCGACGGCTTCGGCGCATGATCGAGGGCTCGCCGGGGAACCTCGCCTCGGCCGCTCACTCGATCCAACGCCGAGCGTTGCTCGCGGGTTCGCCCGCGCCAGATCAGGTTCGGAGCGCCGATGGCACTACGGCCAGATCGAGCTGGGATGGCATGCGCCCCGCTGCTCTGGGAGCGGCACCGAGCCCCCCCGCAGCATCAGTCCTCGCCGACGGTGGCGCGGCAGCCTCAGCACATCTGCGCAGGTGGCGCGCCCAGCAGCAGGTGTGAACTCAGGCGCCGACTCCGATGCCATCGGCTCGCTCGGCGAAGAGATTGCTGCCGATGATCCCGGGCTACGCGACGTCCCGGTGGACAAAAAGGCGGCACGCACCTCTTTTGGGTTTACAAACACGCCAAGGCACGATGGCGCAGTTGCGACGGCCGCAAGCCCGTTCGCCGCGCACGGGGGGCCATCGAATGTAAGAGCACAGGCCGCGGTAAAGGCTACCTCGCGCCACTGGCCGACACGTTCTTTGGAATGGCAAGGGCAAGGGGAAAGGGGAGTTCGGGGCCGTCGGCGCGGGTTCCGGCCGCCAAGGCAAACCATTGGGCCTTGACGGGGCAAGCCATCAGTGCCACGGGTGCGACTCCGAGGAACACCTCGCGCGTTACCGTCCCGGTACCGTCCCCAGCGCCGCCGGCAAGGGCGCGCCCTTTCCCTCGACGCTTCAGCCCTGGCAGCACCAGCGCTGCCGCCGACGTCCTCACTGCCTGCACGTCTGGGGCATCAGGGGGGGCGTGGACTAGCCGCTCAACAGCCCGTACCAGACTCGCGCACGGTTTCGGATGACAAGGGTCACGTCTGGAACTTTTCAGCCTATGGTTCGGGGCTCCGGCGATAGTGACCCCGCGAAGAGCGCCGAGTCTTTGAACCGCGGGCGACCGACTCCGGTGACGGCGGCACCGCGGCCAGGTTCAGCAGAAGCACCACTTGCGACCTCCGGCGGCTCGCAGCAGGCAGTTGGCCACAACCATTGGTCGAGCTGGGTGGAAAGCCCATCCCAGGGCACAGGGGTCGGACGATGACGACGATTACGACGACGAATACGACGACAACGAAACAGAACGGAAGACGGAATCGCACGCGCCGAAGGGATCGGCGGATTCCTGTAGCTTGGAGCGGCGTCGGGAGTGGGGGGGGGCGGTCGAAAAGGATGAACAAAAAGAGGATGAGGAAGAGGAGGAGGAGGACGAGGAGGAAGAGGTGGAGGAGGAGGAGGAGGAGGAGGAGGAGGAGGAGGAAAAGGAGAAGGAGGGCGAGGAGGATGTGGTGGAGGAGGAGGAAAAGGAGCAGGTCCTGGAGGAGGAGGAGGAGAAGGAGGAGAAGGAGGAGGAGGTGGAGAAGGAGTTCGAGGAGGAGGAGGAGGAGGAGGAGGAGAAGGAAACGGAGGTTGGAGGAGGAGGAGGAGGACGAACACGAGGAGGAGGAGGAGGAGGGGAGAGGAGGAGGAGGACGAGGATGATGATGATGATGATGATGATCATGATGATGATGATTATGATGATGATGATGATGATGATGATGATGATGATGATGATGATGATGATGATGATGCTGCTGCTGCTGCTGCTGCTGCTGCTGATGATGATGATGCTGCTGCTGCTGCTGCTGCTGCTGATGATGATGATGATGATGATGATGATGATGATGATGATGATGATGATGATGATGATGATGATGATGATGGTGATGATGGTGAGGATGATGATGATGAGGATGAGGATGATGAGGAGGATGAGATGAGGATGAGGAGGAGGAGGGGAGGAGGGGGAGGAGGAGGAGGAGGAGGAGGAGGAGGAGGAGGAGGAGGAGAAGGAGGAGGAGGAGGAAAAGGAGGAGGAGGTGGAGAGGAGGTGAAGGAGGAAGAGAAGGAGGAGGAGGAATTTGGAGGAGGAGGTGGAGGAAGAGGAGGAGGAGGAGGAGGAGGAAGAGGTGGAGGAGGAGGAGGTGGAAGAGGAGGAGGAGGAGGAAGAGGTGGAGAAGGTGGAAGAGGAGGAGGAGGAGGAGGAGGAGGAGGAGGAGGAGGAGGAGGAGGAGTTGGATGGATGTCGTTTAGCTCTCTGCAGGGTTAGCTCCCGTGTTCTTTGGCGGGCCGGGCGAGGATCCACCTGGTCCTGGGCGGCACGGACGCCGGTGGCCACTCGCGGGGCTCCTCCAGCACGGTGGCCCAGGGGGCGGCCCCCAAACCACAGAGGAGAGGGAACAGCGGGTGCCCCCACCTCCCTTTTTGGACGGGGAGGAGGGGAGGAGGATAAGGGCGAGGCGGAGTGAAGGAGGTGGAGGATTGTCTCAGATTCGCAGTCGGGTCTAAGAACGGGCCCTCTTTGGTAGAGAAGCCCCGGGCAGGGCTGAGCGAATGGGGGAGACCAGACTCACGATCCAGATCAGGGGGAAGACGCGGACCTGTCCAGGCACGCGCGGGCTCAGGGGCCACACTGCTGGTCCGTTGAAGAGATGTGTGTTGCCCTTCCGCCTCGCCCCATTGCCGTTCTTTGACCCAACCGGATCTGGGCACCTGGGGGGCGGCACCCCGAAGGGGAAGTGCCGCGGCCCCCGCCAGTGCCCGTCGGCACGGCGGCGAGGCCGTCCTCCTTACCCCCCCCCTCCCACACCTCCTCCTCCTCCTCCTCCTCCTCCTCCGCCTCCGCCTCCGCCTCCGCCTCCGCCTCCTCCTCCTCCTCCTCCTCCTCCTCCTCCTCCTCCTCCTCCTCCTCCTCCGGGCGAGGCCCGCACGCGGGGGGGCCAGGTCCCAAGGGAGGGGGGCGGGAGGGAGGAGGCGCAGCGAGGGGAGGGAGGGAGGGAGAAGGCCAGGAGGAGGAAGCTCCCGTCGGGGACCCGCCCGCGTGTCCGGGGAAGGGGAGGAGGCGGCGGAGGTGCGGCGTGTGTGGCTACAAACTGGGAGCAGCGCGTGCGAGAACTGCCAGCAGCGGTGCCGGGAGGGTGGCTCCGCGGGTGGCGCGCGGGTCGCGAGCCGCGCAGCGTCCGCTGGGGGAGCCAGGGGCCACTTCCATGGCGGTGCGCAGGAGGAGGTGGAGCACGGAGGACGTCGATGTGAGAGAAGGTGGTGGGAAGCACAAGTCGGGTCGGACGACGAGGGGAGGGTTGGGAAGACGGTGGTGCGATGTTCGTTGCATGCATTTGGTTTCGGCCCCGCCGCTGGGAGTTTTTCTCGATGGCTTCGCGCCTCCAGCGCGGCGCCGTAGAAACCAGCTGCATACGTTGGTTTCCATCCCTCCCCTTGCTGTCCCTCCCGTTCGCCCCACCCAAGAGGGGGAGGATATTAGTAATGATTAGAAGAAGAACAAGAATAGGAAACACAAAGCGAAGACAATGGACATGAATGTCACTAATACCAGGAACCACCATAGACGTGAAACACGACAACAACAAATTGTTGTTTAGTCGTACTACTGATCATCATACCTATACTCGTAATGTAAATATCAGTAATGCCGATAATCTGACCAACACTCACGTAAAAGTATAATTTGTAGTAAACAACACACCAGTAGCATATATGCAATATTAGCATCGACAGTACCATAGACCTAAACACATATACACCCAACAACAATAATACGAATACTAACACGTGGAGTCATAGACATTCGCATATACGTCCGAATTTTTATACCAATGCTATCAACGTGCGCAAGAGTACGAATAATGATTCTTTGAGGAAATATGAAGGTAACTAAACATCCAATTGTTAGGAACAAGCGGCTCAAGCTGATAAGGATTACGGGAAGGATGAGGAACAGGAGGAGGAGGAAGAGCAGGAGGAGGGGGAGGAAGGATGGTTGAGACAGCGGTGGCCTACTTGCTCGCCCAAGTCGGTTCAAAGTCGGTCCCCAGGCCTTCCCTTGGATCAATTCTGGCCATCGGCGCATTGATTTTGAAGGTCGATCCAGTGGCGGCAACGCGAATCCTCCAGAACCCTCCTCCGAGAGGATGGGGGGTAGGAGGAGGACGGGAGCACGATGAGGGCAAGGGGAGAGGACGTTCGGCACAGAAATCGTGCCCCTCTCCCCCGGCCTGGCCCACTTTCCCCACTTGGGGCGAGGCCAGAGAGTTATAAAATCAGCTGATGAGTCTGTTTTGCACAAGCGGCGTTGAAACTATCCGGCGATCGGAAACATTCACCAAGGGGGCGTGGATTAGCGACGGGCCCCGTTTCCATGGGAAATCGCTGATTTCCGCCGCCAAACGAGGCGGCACCGGCCGCATTTGGGGAGGGCACCTCCCCCGATCCATGGATTTGGCGACCGCGCGTCAAATCCATGGATCGCAAATCCATTTTTGTGCGCCCCCGAAGTTATACCACCCCCCACGTGCCCCCCCTTTTGTGGAGGGGGCTAGGTGGGTGACAACGTTAGAGGGGACAGGAGCAGGGGGGGACGCATCGACCCCCAATCGCCCATTGATGCCCGATGGCCCGCCCGCCCAGGACTGTGGATTCGCTTTCTAGGGCCTATCGCCCATCAATCGGTGCTGCATCGCCGATTCCAGGTTACTGCCCCCCCCTTCCCCCTGAGCCAGTATTCCCCCGATCGTCGCCCCCAGCCAGGTTTGGTTGAGGGTGCTCCTTTGCTCCTCCCGCCTACTCTGGCGGAGTCTGGTCTACTCTTAGGCTTCGTCCGGTCCTCGTCCTCCTCCTCCTCCTCCTCCTCCTTCTCCTCCTCCTCCTCCTCCTCCTCCTCCTCCTCTCATCCGGCGCCCGAGTCGTGCTATGTGCGGGAGCGCATGGGCAAACAGCGAGACACTGCGCCTGCTCTCTCCACTTTTGCGGGGCGCTGCGGCGTGCCTCCACGACTCGGGGAAGGGGCGCGGAAAGAGAGGACGGGGGAGAAGACGGAGAGGGAAGGGGAGAGGAAAGAGGGGGAGGGGGGGAGGAAATCAGGCGATCGGAAACATGGATTCAGGGGGCGTGGATTAGCGACGGGTCCCGTTTCCATGGGAAATCGCTGAGTTCCGCCGCCGAACGAGGGGGTACCCGCCGCATTTTGGGGAGGGCACCTCCCCCGATCCATGGATTTGGCAACCGCGCGCCAAATCCATGGATCGCTAATCCGTGTTTGCGCGCCCCCCCGAGAGAGAGGAAGAGAGGAGGGGTAGGAAGGGGAGGCGGAGAGGCACGAGTTCAGCACGAGGGAGGGAAAGGAGCTCTGGCCCAGTAGCGATCAGTCGGCGGGAAGCCCAGGGGGGGGATGTGGGAAGGATCGGAAGGCCTCGGGGCCTTCTCAGAAGCTGTCTCGGTCTACTCCGAAGACCATGAGAAGTTCTCAGAGGGCCGCAGGGCTCCTCGGAATCCCCGCCGCCTTCCTCCCTCCTGCCTCCTCCCTCCTCCCTCCTATCCTCTAGACCTCCCAGGTGGGGTCGGAGTAGATGGGGTCGGAGGATCGCGCCGCATCGCCGATGCATCGACGATGCGGCTCGATGTGCAGCCCGATTTGCTTCACGTCGACGTCGCTGATGCATCGCCTTCGTCGACGATGCGTCGCCGGTGCATGGCCGATGCATCGGCGACGCGGCGCGATCTTCTGACCCCATCTACACCGACCCCATCTAGGAGGCCTCTACAGTCAACCATGATAGTAAGGACGGGGCAACTTGGTCAGGGTACCCTTGCATCCTTGCCCCTTCGCCGCATCCTTGCCAACCTCCGCTTTCGCGCTCCGCGCGTAAAACCTCAACATGGCGTTCCAAGGCCCTTGCCTTCTTTACCGCGCCTCCTGATCATCCTGGCTGCCTGTGCTTCTGCGAGGGCCTCCTCCTCCCCGCTTCCCCTCCTCGCTCGCCGCCGAATCGGCCGCCCTCTCGAAGACCCCCCCCCGGAGCGGCGTCCCGGCCTGGGGTTTGGGCGCCGCGTAATGGGGGGGTCATAAATGGGGGGGCGGCGAGTGTGGTCCGAAAAGGTACCCAAACGGTACCTAAACGAGCCCCCCGGGGCTCTGGAGGGGCCCGAAAGGGGCACGAAAGGGGACCTTTTCTGACCCCCCCATTTGTGACCCCCCCATTAAGCCACGCCCAAGGGGTCGGAGACGGCGCGGACGGCCCCGCCGCCCCTCGAGGCTGGCTCCTCCCTGGCGCCCGCCGTGCGCCTCGCCGTGCCGGGCGTGCAGCGGTCGGCGTCCAGCTTGGCGCCCCCGGGGGGGTGGGACGAGGGCTGGCGGGTCCTCCTCGCACGCTCCTCGCACGCTCCTCGCCTCCTCCTCGCCTCCGCCTCGCCTCCTCGACTCCTCCTCGCCTCTTCCTCGACTCCTCCTCGCCTCCGCCTCGCCTCCCTCTCGCTGCCTCCCCGCAGCCTTCCGGTCAAATGGGAGGGGCCGCCGCTGTGTGGCCCGAGTGTATCTGTAGACTGCACGGGAAGTTAACTTGTACATTCAACATCTTATTGCCGCGTGCTGTCTCTCGTAATGCCAGCTTGTGATTGACAAAAGGGTGCCCCCCCCCGGAGGCTGATGAATAGACCCCGCGGGGCGCGAAACCTGTTTTTAACCACGCGCGCCAGGGGGTCGTCGCTGGCGCCGCCGAGGGGATCGTGTACTGCCCTGCATTACAGCCTCAAAACGATTGCCTTCTGTAAACAGATTGTTATACAGGGCCATACACATCCGAGGCGAATTTTTGTTCCTCCTATCGGGCGTCGTCGTCGTGGTCGTCGTCGTCGTCTTCTTCGTCGTGCTTGTCGTCGTCGCCTTCGTCTTCGTCTTCGTCTTCGTCGTCGTCGTCGTCGTCGTCGTCGTCGTCGTCGTCGTCGTCGTCGTCAGCGGGCCTGCGCAGCACCCCGCACCCCCCCATAGGGCATTCGCAGTGCGTCGTCGTCGTCGTCGCCGCCGTCGCCGTCTGCCGTCCGCCGTCCGTCCGTCCTCGTCCTTGTCCCGTCGTCGCCGTCGTCATCGGCGAAGAGAGCGGCCGCATGCCAGTGGACGGCGGCGACGACGGCGACAGGGGCGGGGAGGAGGACTACCCGCCTTGCTCGGGTCGGGCGAAAAGGCTGGGGAAGGAAGGGGGGGTTGCAAAGCCTGCTGCGCGCAGCTGGTTTCGGTCGCCCCGCCGAGGGGCTAGTCTTCGACGCATGGCCGCTTTCGGCGCCTGAACTCGCTTGGAAAATCGGCGACGTGAGCTGCTTGGCGAATCTCCCTTTTGCTGCGCCCCGCTTTCGTCCAGCCCGCCTTGCCCGCAGGCCCGCATCGGTTCGACAAAAAGAGAGGCGCCCTGGCTCGCCCTTGCCTCCAAACGCCGCCCCCCTTGCCCCTCGTTGGCGGCGGGGCGTCGGCGCTAATCACTGGCGCCGCCCCGCTGATTCTTTATTTGGCGGTCGCCACCCCCCGCGATTTGCCCGAGCAGGGGGATTATTTTTAACACGCGCCCCCCACGGATTTGTTAATCACAAGCTGACGCTACAACCGCTACAGCTTCCAACCCCCGAAATTCTAGCTGGTAGCGGAGCTGGGAAAGATCCCGGCCCGAGATTCACGGAACGCGTGAAGAGTGCAGTGTGGACGCACATTCGAAATTACCTTCTTTTCCGCATCGGTCCCACCCTCCATTCTTCGAGTAGCCTGCGCTTACGGCCTTTCTGCAAGCTGGCCAGCCTTTCGCCTCGGACAACCGGTCCGACCGCCTGGGAAACAGAAGAAGGCATTATCGCGATGAGGAACGACCCGCCCACAGGATCGTCGACCCATCGCAGCCCCATATGCGGTGGCCGCACACTCGCGTCGGGCATGCGTGCTAGGTTCCCCCCAGGGCTAGCGCCGTGCTTCGGTACGTGTGCGATAATGTTGGTTGTCCCAGTGAAAACATCGACCTGTCCGAGTGGAACTTTGCAAGCTAACTTACCATGGTCACAGATCTCGACTTCGACCCAGGTTAACGACAACATCATCAGGCTTGCCCCGTACTTCGGCATGGCGCTCGTCCCTGCTATCATACCCCCCATTCCAGCTACCCCTAGGGTGTCTTTCTGTGAGTCCAGGGGGGTCGAGAACTCACCGTTCCTCATCATACCATCTCATTTTTCTCATCACCTTCCCCTCCCCTTCAGGGCGAGCGAATGCAGAGGAATCGGAAGAGGAGTCGGAAGAGGAGGAGGCATGGAGGAGGAGGAGGAAGAGGAGGAGGAGGAGGTGCAGGAGGAAGAAGAAGGGACATTGGGGGAAGGAGGGGGAGGAGGAGGGTGAAGATGAGGGGGAGGATCAGGAATAGCAGGGGGAGGGTGAGGGAGGAGGGGGAGGAGGGGTGGGGAAATCCTGGGCCCCTCTGGGGGTTCCCTGGGTCCCTCTTGGAGGCTTCCTGGCCTTCTGAGACATTCTGGGTCGTGGGGGGCCGCGTTCCCGCCAGGATGTGCCCCCGGGGGGGGAGTAACCGAAATGGCGCATTGGGGCGCGCATGGTGCGTTCCCTTGCCGACCCCTCACTCCTCCCGCACGCAACCTCCTCGCCCGCCCCCTCGCTCCTCCCTCCCCCTACTCCCCCCCTTTTTCCTTGTCTCACTCCTCCCCATTCACTCCTTCCCCCGCATTGTTCTTTCCACACCCCACTACCTCACGATATTTCCCTCGATTCCTCCCCTCCCGCACCCCCCCTCCCTCCTCGCCCCTCCTTTCTCTCGTCCCTCCTCCTCCCCTCCTTTCCCTCTTTTGTTCCTCTTCCCCTCCTCCCTTTTGTCCTCCCCTTCCTCCCTTCCCTTCCCTTCCCGTTCTCGCACCATCTGTCATCGCACCTCCTTCCTCATTTCTTTATTCCCTCGCCCCCTCCCTCCCCCACCCCTGTCTCTCCCTATCATCGGCATGGAGGTTTTCGCCGCCATCGCCATGGATATCGATGTGCCGTCGGGGGTGCCATGGGGTCCCGGGACCGGCTTTGGGGGGTATGGAATTCTGTAATCCGCCTTAACTCGATGGGGGCCGTCACAGCCCCAACAGCTACGAGACCCAAGCCGCCGGCAAAACATGCGTTACTGCCGCGCGTGCTGTACTATGGTTTCCTCGACCTCCTGGGCCCAGGCCAACTGTGGGCCCTGAGCTGGGAGGACACCCGCGACGTGATCGCGGATGGACGGACCAAGGGCAGCCACGGGTAGATCTTTATTCTGCGACGTGGCCGGTGGTTCTCGTCAGCGGCCACATGCACCGCGAAAATGGACGGACCAAGGGCAGCACGGGTAGATCTTTATTCTGCGACGTGGCCGGTGGTGCTCGTCAGCGGCCACCTGCACCGCGAAAAGTCAGATTCGCGTCGGTTGGCAAGCTCAGCGCGCCGTCGGGCCACAGGCGCAGGCCGACCTGCGAGAACCGACACTTTTTATCATGCATACAGGACTTGAGTTGTACATTTATTCTCTTCGGCACCATCGGCCCCTCCTTGCCCCCGTCTCTCTCGGGAGGTCTGTCGCTGGGCACGCGGCGGTTGAGGGTTCTGTGCCAGTGCGGCAATTCGGGCGAGCAAGTTGTCAGGAGTGTTTCGTCTCTGCAGGGAGCAGCCATCGCCGCGGGCGCGAATGTGGGCGAGCCTGCGCGCGGACACATGGGCCATGGATGCAACTTACGATGAGGAGGAGGAGGCAGGAGGAGGGAGGGAGGAGGGAGGAGGGAGGACCAGGGATGAAGGGAGGGAGGAGGGAGGAGGAGGCAGGAGGAGGAGGGAGGAGAGGCAGGAGGGAGGAGGGAGGAGGGAGGAGGGAGGACCAGGGATGAACACTTACGATGCCGCTGCTATTCTCTCAGCAACAGGGGCCCGCGCCGCCTGGCAGGAACGCGCAGCGCCGCCGCGGCGCGGCCGGCGCGCCGCCGGGCCCGCGCGCGGTCCCCCGCCGCGCGTCCCCGCGGGCTGGCAGCCACCCGCTGCCGCTCGTGCGCGCGTCAGCATGACTTGGGGCACGACGCCTGAGCCCCTCCTCGTCCTCCTCCTCGTCCTCCTCCTCCTCCTCCTCCTCCTCCTTCTCCTTCTCCCCTTCCTCTCCCTCCTCCTCCTCCTCCTCCTCCTCCTCCTCCTCCTTCTCCTCCTCTCTCCTGGGACTTGGGGCACGACGCCTGAGCCCCTGGGACCTCCGCAGCCCCATCGCTCGCTTCTCGTTCCGGCGTCATCCCTGCCTCCCACAGAGGCAGTGGCGCCATCGAGAGTCGTAAAATCCGCAGCGACGTCCACAGGTCGAGCCGCGCCACGCGCTCGATCTCCTCCGCCCCCTCCAGGCGCATGGGCGAGGGTCGGTGACCCCGCGGGACAGCTGGTCATGGCCCGTCCACCCGGCGCGTCTCCGATGATGCTTCCACTGAGCAGGCCGCAAGTACGTCAGTTGTAACGTCGGGCGCAGCAGTCCAACGAGGAAAGGCGCGTTATTTCAACATCGTCTGCATTTCAATGTCACGCTCGGGCTCAAGAGCTTCCCCGACCCAGCTCGCGCTCGACGTCTCCGCGCAGACGCCGCTCGGCAGCCATGTCTCACTCTCAGTTGATGCCCACCAGCAAGGCATTCCTACTCGTGCCGAGTCCTCCGAGCGCTCCGCCGCCTCCCGAAGTCTCAACCTCGTCACTCGCGGGCGATGCTCAGTCGTTCAGCAAGACCGACGAAGCAGTTGCGCCGTTCGTGCGGCTGTGACTCTTCGCCGACCCAGTCCCTGAGCAGTTGCCCGGCCGCTGCTTCCTCTCCGCCAGCATCATGGATCCAGAGTTGCGCGCTGGATTCTCGTTCGAGGCGCGCAGGGCCATGGGCTGGCTTGGCATTGAAAAGCTGCAGCATGCGAACTCTCCGCTCAGCATCGCCCTCGCAGTGTTCAGGCGAAGCTCAGCCACCTGGGGGGCTCGCGGGTCCTGGGCAGAGGCCCGAGTGCCGCCGCTACTGGACGCTCACAGGCGTCTGTTTCTTGCCAGGATTTTGTTCGGAGGGCACCAACTATACACCAACACCGATCCTGGCCCAGGATCGGTGTTGGTGTATAGTTGGTGCCTTCCTATTTGTCAGGATCCGTTGGCCGCGCGCGACGAAGCGTCGCTCGGCGCGCCCTCGCCCGAAAGCAGGCCGTTTGGCTGCGAATGGCCAGCGGCGCCGTCTCCGCGTGCGTCGCGCCCCCCATCGCCTCTGGGCGAGACCTCTTCGAGACCTCTCTCCAGAGGTTTAGCCCCGCTCACCTTCCCGCTAGGCTGAATGCGACGAGGCCAGCGCGGCGCACGGTTCGCGCTGGAGTCCGGCGCCACCTCGCCTTTCGGCCCCGCGCCCGCTCTGGACGAGGGCGGGAGCCTTGGCGCCCGTCGGCCCCCGCGGGCACGCTGCTGCGATAGCTGGCAAGGACAAGGGTCAGAGCAAGGGCGCGAGCAGGAGCGAGCCCGCGCCAGAAGGCGCCGCCGACCTTCCCAAAAAGAAGACTGCGATGATACCGCAGGGCTGGGGAGAAGGTTATGCGCCGGCGCGCCAGCGTGGCCCTCTGCGCGGCTGGCGCCGACGAGCCACAGCAGCCGCCCTCGGCCACGGACAGTGCCGAGCCTGGCACGCCCAGCGAGGAGGTCACAAACGGCGGTCGTGATCGGAGCGGCTTCCGCGGATCGCGACCGCGGTGAGCTTCGAGGCGATGGTGCCGAAAAGGTGCGCACATCATTCAAACTCTGTCTCCATCCACCACCTTCTATCCCACCTACGTGGTCAAGGCATTTTACCTCCAGCTCGCCCGTTACGTGACCCTTGGGCCATCACCTTGCCGAAGTTCCAGGACAGGTTTCCAGACGTTGCGTCTGCGGCCCGAAGCACCAACAGAATGCACCATGCGGCGCGAAGAGACTCACGCCATCATCACTCACAGGCGTGAGCTCGTCGAGTGCCGCTCTTAAGGTTACGATCGAGGCACCCGCCACAGAGGGTGAGGCCGCGCCCCGCCGCGTCGCGCGCCCGTCAGGTCAGACAACGACGGCGTCTTCTTGCCGAGTCTAGAATTTGCTCGTTTTTGGATAGTTACGGTTCCTTTGTTCCTTTGGTTGTTCTTTTCCGCCAGAGAAGTTTGATCGCTCACAGAATCCCGACTCAAATAGGAGGGGTCGCCGCTGTTTGGCCCGAGCGCCGACGCATACCTGTATACTGTACGTGGAGTTAAACAGCGATCAACATCTTATTGCCGCCGTGCTTTCTCCCGTGCAGCATCCAACAACCACTGCAATTCTAGTCTCCTGGCCTCCCCCCCGCCTCCAGTCGCCTCCGGTGTCCTCATTTCGCATTTTGTTTGCTGGTTGCGTCGTGCCCGTACGAGGTCCCCGCCATTTTTTGTTGTTGTTGCAAGCCTTACACCGTGTTCGCAAAAGGCCTGCCGCCGTGGTAACATCCGAGTCCGTGGAGTCAAGGGCGGATGCCTTTCGTCTCGATGGGGGGTTCGGGCCCGCCACTGGTTCCCCCCCCCCCTCGGGATCCTTGGAAACGCAGGCGAACACACCCGCTACTCCGTCGTGCTCCTCATGTATCCTGCCTCCTTCCCCCTGCCACCTCCTCCCCTTCCCGCCTCCTTCCTCCCGTCTCCTCCCTCTTGTCCCCTCTGGTGGCTGAATTCGTCTATCGCAATCCGTTTTGCTTTACTCGCCAGCGCGGTCCCTCCCTCCTCCTGTGCCCTGCACTCCGTGCCCTTCCCGTCTCTTGTGCTTGGCCCTCCCCCTCCTTCGCCATCCTTCGCCCCTCCAATTCCCACCCCAGTCGGCCTCCTTTGGAGCTGCGCCGCTGTGCTGGCGAATGGGGTTCCCCTGCCCTGCCTTGCCCTCTGATTGCCCTCCCCTCCTTACCATCGCGGCTGCGTTTCCCCAGTGCCTTTTTTTTCGATGTCCGTACATCAGTCTCCAGAAGCCGAAGAGGACGAGGAGGGGGACGAGGAGGAATGGGAATGTGATGATGACGCGGCTGATGATGATTCCGATGAAGTCGATGCTGGCGATGATGCTGTTGATTTCGATCATGATGACGATAGCGATGAGGATTAGGATGATGCTTTGGATTATGGTGGGGATGTGGATGACTATGATGATGATGCTGATGATGATGATGAAAATGATGAAAATGATGATGGTGATGGTGATGGTGATTAGAGGGTTGATGGCGATGACACTGATGCTGGTGATGACGATGATGATGATGATGATGCTTATGGTGGTGATGATGATGATTGTGGTGGAGACGGTGGAGACGGTGGGGATTGTTTTGATGCTGCTGGTGTTGATGATGCTGACGACGATGCTGACCAGAATCGCGATGCGAATGTGCGTAGCGCTTTGCGGGAGCTCCATTTTGAGAGGGAGCCGCTCTCCATCTGTGCAATCTGCTCGCAGATTGTCTGCAACCTTGTGGGACAACTGTGCGCAGCGCTAGGGCGAGAGCACAATTTCGAAAAGGATGCCGCCCTCCATCCCTGCAGCGTCTGTTGCAGGATGGCGTTCGGGCAGGAGCTCCAGTTTTGCAAAGGAGCCGCAACCCACTCTCTCTTGTACGTGTTGCACGCCCGTGAGACGAGGAGGCGCGGCGCGGCGGCGAGCGCCTCATTCTGACCCCCCCCCGTCCGCATCTTGTTGCAGCTGCCGCAACCTTTTTGAGATGAGCGTGCGTGGCGCTACTGCGAGTACTCCAGATTCCATAATAAAGTAGGGGGGGTCACATTTGGGGGGGAGCCTGATTTGAGCTGTCTTGGAGGGTTCGGGGGGGTCTGGGCAAAGGGCCGCCCTTTCATGGATGGTCCGGGGGGGTCTAAGACTTCTCGTATGGGAGGGTTGAGACCCCCTCCCTTTTTATTACGAAAGCTGGAGTACCCCATCTGGCAAAGGAGCCGCCCTCCATCCTCGCAGCAGCATTGCTGCGGGCTTGTGAGACGAACGTGCCCGGCGCTGAGGCGAGAGCCCCGTCCTGCCGATTTTTACGTGGGTGCGATAGGGATGTGATATTTATAAGGGGAGGAGGAGGAGGAGGAGGAGGAGGAGGAGGAAGAGTGAGATGAGGAGGGAGGGAGAGGAGGAGGGAGAGGAGGGGAGGGGGAGGAGCGAGACGGAGTTCGGTAGGGAGTGAGAGAAAGAGAGAGACGGGTTAGAGGGAAAGAGGGAGGGAGAGAGGGAGGGGCGATAGAGAGAGAGGTATAACGTTTACATGAACAAGAAAGATCAGTGGAGGCCAGTAATACCACTAAGAAGACGAAGGCTACCAATCTTCAGACCAAGACGAGAGAGAGAGAGAGAGACAGAGAGAGAGAGAGAACAGCACAAAGAGGGAGAGAGAGAGAGAGAGAGAGAGAGAGAAGGAAAAATACAATAGACAGAGGCCGCTCGGGCACTCCCGCAGAGACTGCGGCCCTCCAGTCAGGCGATCGCAAACATGGATCAAGGGGGCGTGGATTAGCGACAGGCCCCGTTTCCATGGGACATCGTTTATTTCCGCCGCCGAGCGAGGCGGCACCAGCGGCATTCTGGGGAGGGCCCCCCCCCAGATCCATGGATTTGGCGACCGCGCGCCAAATCCATGGACCGCTGATCCATGCTGGCGCGCCCCCGAATAGACCGTCGCCGCCCCTGAGTGCATGTGTTGTTCTCCCCTGGGCTATTCGCACTCATCGTCGCCCCCGAGGATTCCGCGCGGACCTCCGACAGTTTTTTTGCTGATGCTTTTGGCTGTTGCTGCTCCTCTACTTTTGGGCCAGGGCCACCTCTGGCAGCGCCCAACCCTTGGGGCTCTTCCCCTTCGCCGGGCCGTGATCGCCTGGGCAACGCTCCGTTTCCTGTGGGTGGGGTGGGCTGTCGCTTCCTTCGGCGGGTTTCCCCCAAAGCCCGTCCCCGGGTGGCGGTGTCTCCCCTGGCGCGACTGGGTGCCAGCCTGCCGAAAGGGGGCTGGAGGTCGGCCACGGCTCGTGCCCGCGGCCCCTTCGTGCACGAGCGCCTCCGCGCTGATGCGCGCCGCCGACGCGGAAGCGGAGTTGCGCCTCTATTGAGGCTGTAACCGCAGTGTCTCCTTGTGGGCCTTCATTCGTCTCTCCCTCCTTCCTCCTCCCTCCTCCTCCACTGCCTCCTCCTCCTCCTACTCCTCCTCCTCATCCATGCTTGCGCGCCCCCGATCCAGGTGCCCCGGCTGGAGATGCAGAAGGTCATCGCCGACCGCGACGCGGCCGCGCCGCAGCACAGCTTCCACATGACGCCGGGGCAGAGCTCGCGCAGCAGCAGCGGCAGCGCCACCAGCACGGGCGCGGCGGAGACGGCTTGCTCGGAACGAGTAGCTTCTCGTATCGAAGACGCCTGTTCTGGCTGGGGCAATTGTGCTCCCCCATTGGATCCGCGGGGGGGGGGGCACATGCTTTCGAAACGGGTGGAGGGGGGGTTGGAGGACGAGGAGGAGGAGGAGGAGGAGGAGGAGGAGACGGAGGAGGAGGAGGAGGAGACGGAGGAGGAGGAGGAGGAGACGGAGGGGGGGGATGGGCAAGCTCCGTCGGACGACAAACCTTCTGACGGAGTTTGCCCATCCCCCCCCGCCTCCTCTTCCTCCTCCTCCTCCTCCTCCTGCTCGTCCTCCTCCTCCTCGTTCTCCTCCTCCTCCCTCTCCCCCTCTCCTCCTTCTCACCCTCCTCCTCCTCCGCCTCCTCCTCCTCCTCCTCCTCCTACCCCCACCCCCCGCCCGTTCTGACACCACGAGCCCAACCCTCCCAGCGGATCCAAGGGGGGGCGATGATTGCCCCATCCAGAGTACGGCGAATCACCGCCGCCCCCTGCCTTTTGGAATCGCCCACGTGGCCGAACGTTGAGGCGAGAGCTCTGCCAAGCTATCTGGCCACGCGTTCCCCCACCCGTTACGGAAACCCTTCGGGGACCATTTGGGGGAGGATGGCGGGGAAGATCAGGAGGATGAGGAGGTATATTTGGAGCCTCTGGGGGCCGCCCTCTTGGTGCTCTCTTGGGAGAATCTGGGGCCCCTCGGGGGCCCCCTTGGGCCGTCGTGGGGCTCTATTGGGCCGTTCTGGGGCCATCTTGGAGGCCTCTTGGGCCTTGGGGCCATGTTGGCGATCTTGAAGGTATCTTGGGACCATCTTCAAATATCCAACCAAGGAGGCGTTCAGCACACCAGGCACCCCTGAGGCAAGCCAACAGGGGGCGGGGAATAGAATGGGCCTTTGGCCCATCCTTTCCACCGTGCACGGGTTGTGGGTCATAGGCCTCGAGGATGTTCACTGGGATGTCGCGGGAGGTCTCTCGGGGGCTTCCTGGGGGCTATTCTGGAGCTTTTCGGGGGCCGTACGAAGGCTTCTTGTGGCGTTTTCGAGGCCCCTTGGAGGTCTCTTGGGGCCTCTTGGGGCCTCCTGGCGGCCTCTTGGGGCGGTCCTGGGCGCCTCTGGGGCCGTCTCGGAATCCTCTTGGGCCGTGTTCTTGGGCCGTCTTGGGGCAGTCCTAGGGGCCGTCTTGGAGCATCGGGAGGTCGAAAAGTCGAGGACCCCCAAAAAGTTGAACAACGAATGGAGAGTCAATCATCTTGGTCTCTCGGGGCCCTCTTGGGAAGGCTCTTGGGGCTCTCTTGGGCCGCCGTGGAGGCCTCTCGGGCCGTCTTGGGACCATCTCTGGCGTCTTGGTGCGACCGTTCGACGACTCGGGGCCCCCCTTGGACCGTCTTGGGGGCCTCTCGGGTCCCTCTTGGGCCCGTCTTGGCCCCTCTTGGGCCCAGAGAAGTCGCGCGAGAAGACGCGACAGGCCCCAGGGAGCGCGCGAGCAGCCCACGAAGATCTGGCGCGATCGGGCTCCCGGGCCCTCTGAAGATGTCTCAGGAGTGCTGAGTGGATTCGGCAGAGGGCCCGAGGACACGCCCACTCCGTGCCCGGCGGTGCGGTGGCGGCTCTGTTTCTGCTCTCCAGGGGGCATTGGCTTCGAACAGATCGCGACGGATGATTTCCAAGGTTTTCGTCCTCTCGGAGCCCTCACTGGGCCTCGGGACCATCAAAAAGCGACTCGGGATGAAAAACCAGTCCCGGGGGAGTGGTCAAGAGGTCGGGGGCCCGCGTCTCGAACATAGATCGAGACGCCGGATGGAGGGAGTGAAGGAAAACGGAAGGGATGATTGAGTGACCAGGTCCTTCCGATCCAAAAACTTCGAGATCTCTCTCTCCAGCGGCCCCCTCGGCACCGCCCCTGAAAGGAAGGAGCCCCCCCTCCACCGCCACCAGCTTCTCGGTCATCGGGCCGATCACTGAAGCCAGCGAGTGGTGAAGGTCCATTTTGAACAGGAATGTAGCTTTGTCTTTCTCAACCTCCACTTTGCGATGCACCCGTACGCGAAAGTACTGGACGGCGCGGGCAATATTTGGCAAATCCACCTGCGAACGCCTCTCGTCCCAGAACCCGCGCATGTCCTTCTTGAGCTTCTCCGCCCTCTCGCGTAGTGCTGGATCCCCTTCCTCCGCCACCGCCTTGGTTGCGCCGTACTCCCACACTGCCATGAAGATTTGATGAATGTGAGGTGCAGCGCGTGACTTGTGGTTCACCGTCTCTCCAGCGTCGGTGCGCTTCTTCATCTCTTTGCTCGTCTCGTTGTAGTCTGCTCCTGCCGCGATCGCGGCCGCGATCATGCCCTGGCTTGCGTCCATCTCGTACCGCAACAGCACCACGGCTCCGAGGTCTGCTAGCTCTCGACTGTTGACCAAGATCAGCTTGCAGATTACGAGGATCTCGTTGTCGAACGGAATGCGACCTCCCTGGCTGCCCGATGCGGCCTTCTTCTTCTTGTCGGGCGGGGCGCCATCTGCTCCTAAGGAGTTGGCACCTTTGTACCAAGCAGGTTTCTGCAGAGCCTCTGCTTCCATGATGAAAGCCGTGTACACCAGTAGTTACAGTACGAGGAGTCGACACGAAAGGCACAATCAGGACGGGCAGATGGCTTCGGAGATGGCGACAGAGGGATAACGTGTCCACTCCAACGAAGTTACAGCATGGGCATTCATAAGACGATGGGGTAAGCAGTGGTCACAGTGTGCGGGATCCACATGTGAAACAGTTGTCTTTCTGTAGAGAACGTAATACATGTCGTGCTGCAGTAACTTGCGTTGCAAATGTCTGTAAGCAGTGTGTGCACACGTTGTTAGGCGTAAGTACATGGGCTAGATAGCGTAGATTACGGCAATGCCGTAGATGTTCAAGGATCTTTTCAGGGGTATCGAAGGCACTCTGACAGGGCTCCCCATTGAGATCCATTGGGTACACAGAGGGTAAATCCACTTCTGCGTGTTCTTCGGGATCCTCACGAGGTACCTCTGGGGGAACACAGCCCGGAGGGGGGATACTCACCGGGAAAACTCGGCTACGAGGCCTCTAAGTCGTTAAGTAGACGCAGGTCGTTGGCAACATCTCGCACTCCCTCGTATGGAAGAATCCTGGAGACGCGATCAAGATCTGAGGCAACTTGTTTTGTCCACGGCGAAGAATAAACAAGGAGGCCAGTCGCCCGTTCCAAGCTGAGGTCGCATGAATTCAATTGAAGAAGATCCACCCAGTGCGCATAACATCTGAGTGTTCCCTCAGGATGCGCACTCCAAACGCTCCAGCGAGGAAGGATCCAGCTTCCAATGAGTGAGCACCTGTTTGTTGGATAATGTTTGTACATGCGGTCCGTCCCACGAGGTAGCTTTGCCTAACATAGCTATACGCCCAAGGCGTGCCAGACAGCCGAATAGTAGTGTCCGTCTCCGTGACCACGAAACTCTCGAGTCCACTCAAGAGATCATTCTGAACGAACCCGATGAAGAGACTACGTTTCCACCTTTTCGGGATCCCAATATTCCACGCCCTGCCCAGTGAAACGAAACCAGAACGAGCCGCCGAACACCTGGAACTCTCAGACCTAGCCGAAACGCCTAACTGTAGGTAAGGCCCAAGATATCTCGATTGTTTCTTGATGGAGCTCTGGAGTAGAGTGGGGTCTTGTCGGAGCAACTGCCGACACTGATAGCCGCGTGCAGCGACACACGTACGGTACTCTTGCTTGGTGCAGGTCTGGCCGTAGCCAAAATTCGCAAGAACAGAATCCAATCTAGCATCAACCTCTGCGATCTTAGTCGTGAAACCCTTCAGCGACATCTGCGGGTCAGCCAGCACAAACTATTGATATCATCCGCAACTTTCTACGTGCTCAGGTCGGCTTGGAGTCCCTGCCACGATGCTCGCAGTCGCCTAGATTGCACATCAGTTTTGGACTCACCATGCCTCCAGGACAACATTGGACGTGCGAACGTACCCACAAACGCTCGGACAGCGAAAGGATCCCCCATCGTGTTCCCCTGTGTAGGTCGAAATGTGAGGGGGCCTTCCAGCGCTTTCCAAACACATGACTGCATTATTGCATTGTTGTTGGCAAAGAACATGATAACATTCACGGGGGTGAAGAAGTACGGTCTCGTCTAACTGACCCCACAGAGCTGCCGCAAGCGTTTGATGCATGTTTGAGCATCATGGCATGTGTGCTACCTTGTGACCTTAGACGCCATGATACAATCAACCCTCCCATGACAGCATCCTCGCGACGACGATGTCGATAGTAGCCGTGGTCTTGGATTGTCGGGGGCGGAGTCAGCAACGTCGAGTAGTATGCCTTACCAGAAGTTGCCATCACATGAAACACTCTGCGACCACAAGGACCAGTCATATTAGATTTGCGTAGGCCTGCGCCTTCGGTCCGATGCCAGTAGAGCGGGCTGATGTTGTGCATCCTGGTCTTCGCCAAACCCACCTTTCCCAGAAATCTGAAACCCGAAAGTGCTGGCACACTCATGTCAGCTCCTATGCCCTGGCTGCGTCGCTGTTTGCGAGCTTTCTTCGGTAAGAATAGCATCAGCCAGAACTCCAACGGTGCCGTTGAGTCTGGAACTGCGCGTCGTTAGGTTGCGGTCGCATCCACCGAACAACTCGATCCGCATCATCCATGCAAAGGTCAATATTCTGCTCCGTAGATTCCCACAGATACTGCTGGCCGTTCCGTTGGTCGCGCCATTCAAACCAGTTCTGGGGGTGCATCGCCATCCCACCTTGTGAGCTCCCCAGCGGCCACACGTTCAACCATGCCTCTGAGGTAGGTGGTGCCGTCCGAACAAGACGCGCATCTATGTTCTTTGGTCCTGTGCGTGTGCGCGCAGCCCGCCGTGCCAACCTCATAGCTTCTGCCTGCTTCTGGGGATTCCACAAAGCCGTCGCTTCCGCCACCAGCTGAGGTTGAAGAGCACG